CATTTAGAGATGTATTTATGAAGACAGTTGAACTAATTATTTCTATATACACAGTCATTTTTCATTATTATATTTTGGATTATTACCCTTTTTTGCCCACCTCCCCTTATTTAAGTTGTACAGTTTTGCAGAGAATGTTAGTTCAGATCTTTGAATGATTAATTCCTCCTTTCTTTAGACAGAGTACCATTTTTTGCCTTGTATGTGTAGCCCTACTCTTTTTCAGCAGTGTTCTCAGACATTCTCCTCCTAACCTATTCCTTTAATCATATCCCATCTTTACTCTATAGCAAGCAGCACAAATTGTCCTCTTCTGCTTCGCCAATACATTTCTAAAATAAACAGTTGACCAAATTAACAGTGATTACTAAAATCTGCAAGGGAGTCGTGTGGTTGTATAGAGAACTTTCTCCATGACAAAGTCTGGCTCCATTTCATAAATATGCATACGTGGAAGGCTATAGACTTAGCTGTCCAACAACAAAGATTAGGCTCCCTGGGTTTGAATTTTGACTCTAGCTCTTATTAGCCTTGTAACCTCAGGCACGTTACTTATTTCTCTAGTAATAACTTTTTTTTTAGCTAAAGAGCTTAAAATCGTGCTTACTGTGTGCCAGGCATTTTCTAAGTGCTTTACATGGATTAACTCTTAATCTTAAAAACCACTCTAAATTGTCTTCATTTTACATGTGAAGAAGTGAGGCTCAGAAAAGTTCAATATTTTGGGCAAGCTAGGAAGTAGTGGTGAGGCGTAATAGGAAGTTTGTAATAAGTGCTTCTTTCCCACTCTTGTCTTCCTCTGCCTTCCTTCTCCTGGCCTTTCTCTTCCCCTTTTACCATTTTCCCATCTTCTCCTCTCTCTCTATTCCCTCCCCTTCCCTCCCCTTCAGTATTCTTCCCTTCTCCTCCTTTTCCAACCACCTTTCCCCATTCTGCCCCCTCTTCTTCTCATTTCCTCCCCATTCCCACCCACTGCCTTCTCCTCTACCTTGTTACTTTATTGTATTATTACCAGCATTTGTGTGCTCGGTGCTCACACATCATGTTTAGGCATATTTTCTAAATATATCAGCCTCCCTCTTGATTATTAGATGCGATGGACCTTTAGCTCACTGATTATCTTGGCTCTTGTTGAACTTTTATTTTGTCATTAGTGAGTGGCAAGTATGGTAAGAGTTAAATGTAAAAATCAAGGGAGTCCACACCATTTATTGAGCGTTTGGAACACCTTTTAGTACCAGCCAGTCAGTGCCATTAGGTTGAGGATAGCAAGATGAGGTATACTGGGCTGATCGATGCCAACAGTGTACAGAAGTATGGTCAGTGGAGACAGAATTCCTTATACGTTTCGTCACTTGCTCTAAGCAGTCAGTCTCCAAAGAGTTGTGAAAACAATCTTCCTGCGTAAACTCTTTATAATGTAACATTGTACCTCTGTATCTATGAAGTGTCATCCCCAGTAAGTACCTCTTCAGAATGCTGGAGTACCATGGCTACCAATGCCTCCAAAATGTGAGCTGGGCTTTTAATTGCTCTGTCCAAAAACACATTTCAGGAAGTTTCCAAAATTACTATATTATATGACAAAAAGTTATAATTATTGTAGTTATCTCAGCCTGTGTATTAGGTGTATATTTGGGATGAACCTACTTAGCAGTAAGTATCCCTGTTCATTTTCTTTCCTTGTTCATTTTTAAAGCATGTATGTTATATAGGAGAAGATTATATTTAAAAAGTTAATAGAAGTTATCTTTTATCAATATGTTTGTTTTCCTATTAATATTTTATATGAAAATATAAGTAAATTTATATGATTGCTTTCCTTCATGATTCACAGTATACGATAAAAAGAGATCCAATTCTGTTTAAAATTATATATCCTATGGGGACAGACACTAGTTGCCTGTGTGTATCAGTTTTTATTTTTCATTTTTATTTATTGTCAAAATCAATATGATATTTGGAAACTGGCAAATTGATTCTAGATATCTGAGGGACTGAAATTTGTGGAGCAATATTAAGTCAGTTTTATGAGGAAGTTGGGTGACTCATACTGCAAAGAACCAGAGTCCTAAATTTGAATGGCTGCTTTACATGGTGAAATAGATTGGATACTAGTTGTATATACAGAACTCACTTGGCTTCTTGGATCTCCGTTTCTTACAAAGGATAATGAGGATATTGGAGGAATTCCTTTTACCCCGTCCAGCAATGCCTCATCCTCGCTGGCTGCTCCAGAGAATCCCATGGCCTGGTTGGGTTGTAAACAACAAGTACTTATTACTCATAGTTGAGGAGGCTGGGAGGTCCAAGATAAGATTCAGTGTGTGATAAGATCCACTCCCTCTGGTTCATAGATGCCTGTCTTCTCACTGTGTCCTGATGTGGTGGAAGGGACAAGAGAGCGGGGCTGGGGGTGGGGGGTGGTTCTTTTACATGGGCACTAATCACAGTCACAAGAGCACCACCCTTCTGACTTAGTCAACTCCTAAAAGCCTCACCACCTAACATCATATTAGGGGTTAAGATTTCAACATACACATTTTAGGGGTACACAAACATTCAGACCCTAGCAAGCAATAATATTCTGAGATCTGTATGAGTTTTGTTCTATGGGTGTTTGAATGTTGTTTGATGGAGTTTTTGTTGTTTTTTTGCTTTTGATATATATTTTATTCTTTTAAAATTAATATGTAACGTATTATTTGCTCCAGGGGTACAGGTCTGTGAATCATCAGGCTTACACATTTCACAGCACTCACCATGGCACACACCTTCCCCAATGTCCATAACCCAGCCACCCTCTCCCTACCCCCCAACTCCAGCAATCCTCAGTTTGTTTCGTGAGATTAAGAGTCTATTATGGTTTGTCTCCCTCCTGATCCCATCTTGTTTTGATGGAGGTATTTTAATGAAACTTAAAAAAATTCATGAATTATTGCAACAGGAAAAACAGGAAAGAGCTAATAGTCTATTTTTAGTCCTCATGTGGATAGAGTAAAAAGTATTTACCTTGATAGGTATAAAATGAAATTAGAAGTAATTGATATGTGGCCAGGGATGTTTTGAGGAGAAGAGTTTACAGGAAGATATTGAAACCAGGCAAGTGATTTAAAAACTTAGGTACTTCCCAATTCTGCTTTATTCTGAGATAAACTATGGTCTTTTGTACATGGTTGATATTCAGTGAATGTTACAATTTTATTAATTACCAGACATTTTAATAGGTTACTATCATTGGTTAACAAACCAACCATGAAATCTGAGCACATCACGCGGTACAGATCATTATAGTAGAACTTCTTACCATTTGTCCTAGGGACATAGAGCCCAAAGAAGAGTTGGTCTAACATAGATTAGTTAGGTTAGACCTAAGAAGTAATACTTCCAGTTAAGGTCAAAATTTGAAAAAAAAAAAAAATTGCGTGAAAGAACAGAGTTAGTATTGGGTTTTTCATGGTCGTCTTTATTAATTTTATCCTGAGTGAACGTATAAGGAGTTCTGAGTCTAGTTTCGTACTACCTCGGTCCCCATTGCTCTTGTTCTTACCCTTTGGCCCTGCAGTGACAGCCAGGTCCATTGTCCTGTGCTTGTAGCTGCACCGTTCATATGTGAAAGAAGAGGAAATATGATTTTTCCCCCTAAATGTATTAAGTGGGTTGTGGCAGCTTCTGCCCTCTTGCAAGAGTCTCTGGAAATTCTATGACCCTGAATCCTAACCCCAACCCATTGGTATATCAGTAGAATCTCTCTAGGAGCCAAGAGCTTCTCTGTTTTGACTTTTATGACTTAGAGTGGCATCCAAGTTCTGGGGCTTCAACTCTTGACATGTAATACTCAGCGAACTAAAGCTCTAGTCTCCTTTTAGCTAGGGATCTAGTCTATTATGTAGCAACATGGCCCTCTTGAGAAGACATATTTGAAGTTTTATTATTCTTTTGAATCAGAACAGTTAACAGGTAAATAAACGCCTGCAGAGCTAATTCTCATGGAATGGGAAAAGTAGAATATTTCTGGAGGATGAAGGCAAACATTCCCTTCTTTACATAATATATTTTTCAGAGGCTCTAGAGGCTAAGGCTTTTTGTAGGAGCACTGAGAAATCCAGGAAACTTTCATTTTTCCACACTTAGTTTTAAGTTGGAAGAAATCCTACCAGGTCATGCAAATGTTTTATGTAAAAATAGTAAAGGATGGCTTATATACATAGAGTAAGATAGGCTTTCTGGAAGAGTTCTAAAAAAATATAAATGTATGGAAGAGAAATGAGACAATTATGATGTAATTAGAAGCATTCGTTTTGGGGAGTTCTCTCCCTCTCTGTAGTGATTTGTGTAGTATTTCAAACCTGTCTAGAAGCTTCCTGTTTCTAGAAGTATGCCAACAGGGCATCTAGAAAATGTCTTTGAACTGACTCCTGCTCTGCAGAGAATGAGTAATCCTCCTCCTCACATGTTCTGTTCAAACTCGTTCAAGTTCTGAGATTGTGTGAGACACAATAATGTAAAGGTTTGTATATACGTAGAAGTAATATTGAAAGGTTTTAGGGTTTTTGAGCTGGGAGTTTATTGTATTTATTTTTTTTCAAAGATTTTATTTATTTGAGAGAGAACGAGACAGAGAGAGAGAGAATGAGCGGAGGGGAGGGGCGAAGAGAGCGGGAGAAGCAGACTCCTTGCTGAGCAGGGAGCCTGATGTGGGGCTCGATCCCAGGAGCCCAAGATCATGACCTGAGCTGAAGGCAGACACTTAAGTGACCGAGCTACCCAGGTGCCTTTGAACTGGGAGTTTTTTAAACCAATAATCTTTTTTTTTTTTTAAAGCAGGATAAACTTTGACTGACAGTGTGACTAGTTTCATGTATTAGTTGGGTGTGTGGAGTTACTCTTAACCATACTGTATGAAAACCAAGAGTGTAAGACATCCTCTTGGCATAGTTTTAAAGGTTAACAAACAAGTAGTCTTAATTAGTTGACTTACTTGGAATTCTTTGTTTCAGCTTTTTGCCTGAATTCATCAGTGGAGACTTTGATTCTATTAGGCCTGAAGTTAAAGAATATTATGCTGTCAAGGTAAACTGTAAACACTTTATATTTAAGGTCTCGCATATGATTGCCTTTCTTATGTTCTTTCTGGCTTTCTTGGTGTATGTGTAGGGATTTAGAAACTCTTTGCTTATTAAAAATATTTTATAGCAATTGTAATACACATTGAAATAGGATTTAGAAAATGACAAGTAGAAACACAGGCTTAGTAATTCTTTCACCATCAGATATTCATTAATACTTAGTCCTTCATGCATATGTATCTTAAATGAATTTATAAAGGCTTATTTAATAATATACTGTTACTGCCTACAACCTCATTAGTTAATATATATTTTTCAAGTCATTTTTATTTCATTTAATGTATACATTGTATTTAATTTAACCAGTTCCCAGTTGACTTATTTTTAAGTGTTGTCTATTTTTTGCATTGTAAACTAATAAACAGACTTGTAAATGAATGTTTATCAAAATGCATAATCATGTGTCCCCAAAATTTGAGAACCAGTTTTTTTCTTTAATTTTAGTTTTCTTAAAACTGTCATTACCCTGTTCTGAATAAAATTATTCATTACAACTTGAAATTAATAATGACATACCACTTATTAGTGTGTTCATTTTATCACTATTGTGCAAACCCCCAGAGATCCTTACTGCTACAAAGAATGCAGATATGATCCAATTAAGAATGATAGAAGACACATAGGAGTGTATTACAGTAATTAATAATTTAAGCTTTTACTGGTTTTAGAGGACAATGCAGAGATTTTTAGATAAAAATTATAGCTCAGCAATTCAGCCACAACACCATCATCTGTATTCTTCTGAACTGGTATTAGCAAATCGCACACACTTGTAAAAGAAACTGCAGTTACCGAGATAAAAATTTTAATTCTTTATAAGGCATGGGGATGAGTGAGATAAATCAGAAAGAAGAAAGGGAGTGAAGCTTTCATAGGAAGGAAAGAAAGGAGAGGAGGAGGAAAGGAAGGGAAAAAAGGAAAACATGATTCTAAATGGCGACACAGAGATACCAAGTGTCTAATGCATAGGCTGTTATGATTTGGAAATTCTGGGGCTGGCAGTGAATGCAGATCTGGGCATGTTCCCTCTGCCCACCAGCTGATCAGATTCTCCATCAGCAAATGAAGACTGTTCCCAAGTCAGTGTTTGATATTCATGCTCAATTACTTTAACATTGGCATCTTTCCGTTCATTCCCCACAGCCTCACTTCTCATTAACTCCATACCTCAACCTCTTTGGGTTGGAAAGCCCTCAGCCTTGCTTACGATGCAGAGTTTTATAAATTCAAAGATATTAATCATATTTTCAGAAGCAGAAGAAACAGCAGGAGAGGCTGGAACAAGCAGACTTAGAAACAAGTTGAAGATCTGCCAGATGTCTTTTCTCCCCTTCTCTTCAATGCTGCCGGCTTGCTAGAACTGCAAGTGTCAATCTGATAATTCCTATCCAGGATGGGGAAATAACAGAAAATGAGGGGAAGCCAGCTCCTTAATTTCTGAAATCAATGAAATGAGGTCAAGGATAAAGGAAAATTTTGGGTTAACTACAATTTGATGAATTTCTCTTATAACTTCTGCTTCAATTTCTTTAACCTCAAAGCTAATTTTTATTTATTAAGGTATAGTTTTTAAAGTAAGATTAGCTCATCTAATAAATCCTACATTGCATAGTTATAAATTGATATAGTGCAATCCAGTTTTTTTCAAGTATCAGTGGGAACTCACAGCTTTGAACTTTTCTGATCTGTTCCCAGAGGGCACCAGTGATGTATTTTATATAGCTAATGTGCCCTATATAACACATGGTGAGTGTTTAGCTACAGTTTTAATAATGATGCTAATGACAACAAGTTAATGCTGCATCTCACATAATTCATATAAACCATTATCCCCAATTTAGGCAGTCTTCAAGCTGCTCTTTTACAAATGAAAGAAGATTATCTCTGCTTTCAAATACTTTTTTTTCCCTTCTACCTGCTCTGGGTTTTCAGTGAAGCTGAAACTGGGACTGTAGTGAAGAAAGTAAAATAAAGAAGGAATTTAAAATGCTGAAGTTTCTTAAAATTATAAAGTGGATTTTGCAGCCAACATTTATTCATACAATTTTTTCCCCAGTAGTTTTTGACTTAAAGGAAAAACCCAAACTTGCATGATTATATAAAACTTCATTTCTTTTTAAATTTAATTTAATTTTTTTTTATTTTTAAGATTTTACTTATTGAGAGAGAAAGAGAGTGCATGAGCGTGAGCGTTGGGAGGGGCAGAGGGAGAGAGAAAGGAACAAGGAGATTCCTCATGGGCCTCGATCCCAGGACCCTGAGATTATGACCTCAGCTAAGTCAGATGCTTCAACTGAGCCACCCAGCACTCCTGACTATACAAAACTTTAAATTGGTTTCCCTGCCTAATTTCTGAGAACACTAAAATATAGAGTATCAGAGTATTTGATTTGCTGGCTTTTAAACAGAATATTTTATATCCCAGATCTTGCCATCTGCATTAGTTATCTACGTTGTGGAATAAATTATACTAAATTTTAGCAGTTTGAAATGGCAAACAATTTTTATCTCACACGCTTTCTCCAGGTAAGGAATATGGAAGTCAATTAACTAGGTGCTTCTGGCTCAAGGTTTCTCCTGAGGTTAGAGTGTAGCTGTGTTTTCCAGTCCTATCAGGGCTGCACTGCAGCTACAGAATTCTCTTCTAAGATGGATCATGTCATTGCCGGTTGGTCTCACTGGCTGTTATTTCTCAGTGGTTAGTGACTGGAAGCATCAGTTCTATGCCATTGGGCTGCTCACAACATGGCAGCTTGCTGTCCAGAGAGGTAGGGGAGAAGGGAGTGAGAAGGACATGCATGCAAGACAGCCAGCCCAAGACAGAAGTAGCTGTCTTTCTCGTGACCTAATTTCAGCAGTGATACACCGTCTTAGTAAGTCTTCTGGCAGATGCTGCTAGTCACACAGGCCAACCCTGGTACAGTGTGGGATCAGACTGCACAAGGTTGTCAATACCAGGTGGCAGGAATCCTTGGTAGCCATCTTGGAGGCTGGCTACCACGCCATCTGACTGACTTTGTTCTGAGTGTTAGGCAGTGAGAAAGATGTTTTAAGGATGTCATAATAGATTCCTGGTCTTTAATTAGTGATATGTAAGAGGGAAGAAGAAAACATTAGATATTAGTGTTCCTTCTTTGATTCTTCATATGCATAACCTGCTTTAAGCAAAGTTACATACCCACAACCCAACCACTAATCTTTTTGTTCATAGGTCTTAATTATTTATTCCTTTGGGTTTTAGACATGTAGAGTAGAGTTAAGTCCACACTTAATTCCATAGGTCCATAGAAATGCATATGCCATGCCTTTCTTAATTTACTCCATAAAGCTTTCCTTTTCAGATAGAGCTGGAAGATATTTGCGTTTCTCCTTTTGCCTCTGTGTCTCAGTTCTTCCCTGTGTGGCTCATGATACTAGCTCTGAATGAAGAACGTCTCTTAAAGATTTTCCCCTGATATTTTTGTTTGTTTATGTGTTACTCTCTGAGTCACTATTCCTTGATTCAAGTCAAGAATCATATATTTCAGCCGCCTTCATTACCCAGTCTAAATTACCCACATTTATTTTAGTTTCCTGGGAACTTTTTAAAAAAATTTTATTTATTTATTTGACAGAGATCACAAGTAGGCAGAGAGGCAGGCAGAAAGAGAGAGAGAAAGGAGGAATCAGGCTCCCTGCTAAGCAGAGAGCCCGATGCGGGGCTCGATCCCAGGACCTGGATCATGAGCCGAAGGCAAAGGATTTAACCCACTGAGCCACCCAGGGGCCCCACCTGAGAACTTTTGAAGAAACTTATATTGTGGAACTCCTGATATGCTTTGATTGACAGGTGGTCTATGGAGTCTTGACTAGATACAGGAGGAGGGGTTTTCAAACATGTTTCCTTTATATTTAGGAGATTAAGGAACTCGTAGCTGTATTTTAAGTGCCTTAAAGAGCCATAAAATAACAAGGTTTTTCCAAAAATGTAGGTGTGTAGGATAGATGAAAATATTTGATAAATATAATGAAATATATTTGATAAATATAAATATAATCGTATAAATACAATAATTTAAATACAATACAAAATTAAACAATGTTATGTAGCCCAGTTTTCTGATGAAAAAGCTAAGGTCCATAAAGTTTAAATGACTCAAAAGAAAATGGTAGATCTGGTCAGAGACCGCTCTTGGGTCAATATCCATGACTTCTATTAAGAAGAATTTTGTTAGAACTGAGACTCAGCTGCCACTGCTGCTTGTCAACACGTTATATCTGGCCTGTTGGGCAAGTTGCTTGCACAAGGTATTTAGCATCCCTGGGAATGAATGCCAATGTCACACCAACAGGTTAATAGTCAGTGTGTTAACCAGACATTGTGCCTTCACATTTCCATCATGCCATTCCCTTCCACCCTCAGTGCTGGGGTGGCAGTAGTTGGGCCAGACTAAGAATGCCCAAACTAATAAGTTATTAAATTAGACAAATGCTGTTTATAGGACACAGGATTGAGCCAAGACAGAACATTGAAGAACCAAGGTGATTTGGTAATAGAAAATTAGCAAGGGTGTAGGTAGCCTATGAATGTCTTCCTTTGTGCTACAGATGAGTATTTTGGCATTCCAGAAAGTGTTACTATAAACAGAAGGCCTTGTGCTAGACTGTCAGGTGAAAATGACTATTGTTTTAAGTCAGGAAAAGGACTCTAGATCTAAGTTCTGATTTTTATCTTCTTTGTTAATCCTTCCAAGTCGTGGAATAACACAATATGGTGTCACAACAGTGGTCAAAAAATACTAGAACATGGTATGGGCCAAAGACCCTGGTAGAACTGAAGTTAGGAAAGCAAGACTTGACTGAAAACATATGTGACCCCTGGTATAAATGATGAATAAGACTAGCAGAAAGGTTGGGTTGATGCCAAACCACCAATTTTCTATTAAAGCCATAACAAGATCATTC